AGGGCTGCTGTCCATAGTGATAAAATTTAAGTATGTAAATAGCTTGAAGGAAAAAATAGACCTTAGAGAGCAAGTGCAGGCAGCCCTATAACTCAGAAGAAAAGGCTGAGCCAGAAGGAGGCATGGCTGGGACTGAGGCAGGCCATCAGTGCCAAGCAGGAGAATGGTGCCTATGCAACAACAAGGAAAAGAACTAGACTCCTGGGAAGATGCATGAGTCAGACACAATGTCACCCTCTTGGCACTCCATGAATCTTGGCTTCCTAATCTCTGATAGATTCCCTAGGCTCTGAATTCTGTGTTTGACAGCTGATTCACCACCTCACCTCAGTTCTTGGTATAACTTGGTGCCCTTCAAATATTCTTGTAACCAAATCAGTTTAACTTTCAAATGATACCTATTCCTCTTCCCATTTGCTTCTTCTACTCCAGGAAAGGGGGAAAAAGCAACTTTTCCTGGAGTTTCTGGAATCATTGACATTTTCCAGTTCTGGTTGGTTTAGGACAAGATAAAGAGAATCAGTTAATAGAGTTATAGGACCATCTGTCTATCTATCCATATCTGGTATGGACCTTAAAAGCTATTTAATCCAAACCTAGCATTTTACAAATGAGGAAACTGAGGTACACAGAGGTTATGGTATTTGTTTAAGCTTACACAGTTTTAGAGAACAGGCCCAAGATTCTAACCCAGGTCCTCTGATTCCGTACTGGCTCCCAGAAGGCATTTTCGAACACTGGAAAGGTAGATCAGTGATGAGGAATCAACGAGATCTAAAGATCAGAACACAAGCTGAAGTCAAGCTAGAAAAGAAACTGGACATCTGAGCTTGAACAAAAAGAGGAAGTACCTCATTTGCCCCTCTCAGTGAGGTGAGTGTTGGTGTCCTTCAAAAAGTGGTTCTTTGATACTAAACCTGCCCTTTTCCTTCTGAATCAACTTCACTTAACTGTTTCTAGTCACTCACTGGGTTTCCCAAACAGGAAAAAAAATGCATCTGAAAAGATAGATCTCTGTTTGCTTTGGCTCTCTATCCTTAACATTTCTTCATTCAGTAGTTTCCCTTGAATTTGGAAGAGAAGGCTTAGTAGAAGATGTGTTCACTCTCTCCAAATATTTGAAGGACTTATGTCAAGGAAGCATACTCCTTTTGTGTTCTCTCCAAAGAACAGTACTAGGTCCAAATGGGCAGAAGTAAAAGGGAAAGAATTTTTTTTGTTTATAAGGAAGAGTTTTCTAATGAATAGAACTGTAGCTGTTGGGCAGTGGAAGATGCGGCCACTACAAGGAAATGAGATCATCAGAATAAAGCAAAGGCCAGATGACTCTTTTAAGGGTGCTGTAGGTTTCTAATCTGGTTGATTAGGGATTTAGATTGGGTGATCTATGAGTGGCTGTGTGATTTAGAGCAAAATGTTTTACATCTCAGGCTTTCTTCTCATCTATAAAATATGAGAAATAAGTGATGTTTGCAATGCCTACCTCACAGGATTGTCATGAAGGCCAAATGAGATAATTAATGCAAAGTTCTTTGTCAGTCAACCAAGCACTATGCTAAGTGATGGAAATACACAGAAAGGCAAAACTAATAAAATTGTCCCTACTCTGGAGGAGTTCACAGTCTAATGTAAGCCATCAAATATAATGTTACTAATGCTGAGGATGATGGTGATGATTTCAATGGTTACAAAAAAAAAAAGGATGATGACTCTCCTATTCATCTAAGCTGAATCAAGAAGCATTTATTAAACTCCTAATAAGTACTCTGAATTGGTCTGGACATTACTTTCCCATGTCATTTAATTGGTTCTTAAAGCTGTATTGTCCATTCCAACCAGAAGGTTCATTTTGATTAATTATTTTTCTTAAGGCTTCATTGGCTAATGCGGGAGGAGCATTACCCTAAGGCCCTGCTCCATCTCAGTTATTCAGTCAATAAACATTTATTAAATACCCACTATGTGCCAGGCACTGTACATGTAGGCTAGACTACTTTTTTTTCCTTTAAAGATCTGAAACTGTCTGTGAGATTTACTTTTCTCAGGTGATTAATATTTGAATCACTGACTTACTTTCCTGGTTCCCTGAATGCAAAAACAGCCAGGATAGGAAGACAAGGATCCTACTCCTTAGTTTTATGACTATAGACTTGCAACATGACCAACACCAGCACCAAAAAAAGCTTTGTTCTACTGAATCAAGGATTCATCTTTAAAGAACATCTCTTCCCTGCTCTTAATGCCTCTATTTTTCTAAGGTTAGATAAATTTCTTTTTACTAATTTTTAGATTAATTATATGTCTCATTTTATTCCAGTCTCAAACCTAAAATGGTAATAATAATAATAATAATAACAATAACTACCATTTGTGTAATGTTTTAAAGTTTGCAAAACACTTAACAAATATCTCATTTGATACTTACAACAACCCTGGGAGGTAGGTATTATCATTATTATACATTTGAGGAAACTGAAGGGTTACTTTCTGAAGGGTGACTTTCCTAGGATGATGCAGTAAGTGTGTGAGGTCATATATGAACTTAGGTCTTCCTCCCTTCAGGTCCCACTGTGCTACCTAGCTTCCTATATATCAGCCTGGCATGAGTCATTTAAAGTCTATGAAGAAACAGGAGATGAGGCTGAGCATCCTAATTCATTTAAAGACTTTCAGATGACAGTATGAATTGGCACCTCATCTGCAACCACTTATATGTAGCTATATTTTTCTTATTTCCTGTCTTAAAATTTAAAACATTTCACAATTCAGCTGTTGTCCTTTGAAATCTAAGATAAATGGTTTTTTTTGGTTTTTTGTGGGGGTTTTTTTTGCTATCCAAAGGGCCAGAAATCGTTTAAACTCTTCTATTGCCTCAAACCAGGTTCATTTCATGACTGCTTCCCAGAATCGTCAGCTCAATTGACATCTAGAAGAGTGGTCTACGTCAAGCTGGATGACAGGCCAACAATCTTCTACCTTTTGCAGATTAACATTGACAAATCTGGGGGCAGTTGGGAATGTGTCACTCATTCAGCTGAGGAGAGCATCTTTTGGGAAGCTTGATCATATTTGAAGATCTATCAGAGGAGGAGCAGGAAGCTGAGTCAGAGTGTTAACAGGGGAGATACAGGGAAGTTGGAGCCCCAGAATTTAGTAGATAGTAATACTACACATGAAGTCATTCACAGTGGTGAGTCAATGCCTCTTGTCCAGAACTCTATATAAGTTGTAACCTATTCTTACATGCAAATATAGACCTTGCCTACTGGACCGCCCCCCAATGTTCTATAACTATCCTGGCATTTGGGGCCTAGACACTATCTGTGAGATGGCAATGAAAGGAAAAAGAACTAAATTTCAAAGCTAGAATATACTGAAAACAGCAATGATTTTGGAGTAAGAGAATTTGGATTTAATCTCAGCTTTGCTATCTTTGTGACTTTAGGGAAATTATATCGCCTCCCTGGGCCTTAGTTTTCTCATCTATAAAATGAGGGGTTGGCCAAGATGACTTAGAATGTTTCCTGTGAGTGGTGATGCCCTCCATTTCACAGCTGGAAATGGGAACAGATGACAAGTATTTTGATCATTATAATGTGTTTTTCTCTTGTCCAGAGAAGAAGATAGGATAGGATAACTGCATATGTGATTGATTTTCATCTCACTCTACTGACATGAAATGAGGACAGTGCACAGTTATTGAGACAGGAAAAGGATAAGATGTGGGCAGCTAGAATTGAACTCATTCTAAGTAATAATTACCAGAGAATCACAGGAGAGCCCAGGGAGGCAGGTAGGAGTGTGCTTCAAGCTTACCTGAGTCAGAACACTGTGAAAGTTGATAAGAGAAACAGGTGAAAGCAGAGTCCAAGCCAAATTTGGCTTGGAAAACTACAGACAGTTGGATTAAGTTATACTAAGGCTAGGAGCTGAGTTTTTTTTTTTAATTTATTTTTAATTTCCAACATTCACTTCCACAAGAGTTTGAGTTCCAAGTTTTCTCCCCATATCATCTGTTCCCCCACCCCAAGATGGCATGCATTCTATATACCTGTTCCCCTAATCTGCCCTCTTGTATCTCTCTACCCCTTCTCTTATTCCCTCTCCCTAGGAGCTGAATTTTATTGATGAATAAGTTATTCTGAAGTTTTGTTGGTTTGGGAGTGGTGGTAAATAAATTTAAAAAGCTAGGCATTGAGATAAGTGGCCTTTCTTTGATGAACTTTAAAGTATTTGATATTTTGAATGTCTCAAGGTCTGTCTTCAGCATGGAGCATACAAGGAACTGAATTTATAGCCAGGGGACATTGGACTAAATCCTGGCTTTTCTTCATACTTCATAATATAACCTCAGGCTTAATCTATCCAGTACTCAATTTCTCTCTCTGTAAAATTAGTGGGTTGGACTAGTTATTTTCTCAGACATGGGCACAACCAGTGAAAAGCAATGGATTTGGGAGATGAAGTGTGCCAGGAATAGTAGCTAAGAAGATCAGTATTGCTGTGTGGTAGAATATATGAAAGGGGGTAAAGTGTAAAAAAGACTAAAATGTAGAAAGGACCCATGCTGTGAAGGACATTAAAAGCCAAAAAGAAAATTTTATATCTTATCCTGGAGTTAATAGAGGGCCAGTGTAGTTTATTGAATTGGAAAGGGGTGAGGGTAATGTGACCTAGTCAGATTAACCCTTTAGGGAGATCACTTTGGAAGCTAAGTGGAGAGACTTGAGGCAGCCAGAAGTCGAGAGCAATGATCTAAGCATAAAGTGATAATGGCACGTACCAGCTTCCAAAACTCAATTACCAGTAAAAGAGTATTAGTCTGCGGTGACTATCACGGTTATTTCCTTTTTTGAACCAACCTGGCCCTTCAGATAATTGCTTCTTTGTGTAGACATTCATTTACAATTTCTTAAACTAACCAGTCAGAATCCTTGTTACTGCCACCCACCTACCTTCACATTCTCCTAACTTTCACGAATTTTACATCTGTCACATAGATAAGTTCAGCCAAGTTGAGCCAGCTTCTGAAGATGCTGAGGCTGAGGTAGTGTGAACGCACAAGTAAGTTGGAGAAGAAAAACAATGGAGTTAACGTAGCTGGACTGTTCTTATTTGTTGAGTTGAGCTTTATGCCTCTCTCCAAAACTGGCCTTCCTAGCATATAAGAAACAGGGACTTGGATATTGGGTTGGAGATCTGATTTTGGACTTAAACATCCTATCTTGTGTAATTTTATGGGCATAGACACAATCAAGGTAGTAGACCCTCAGTTGTTTTGGAATCCTATCCATTATTACCCTGTTTCAGTTTTTCTGGTTACCCTGGGTTCTGTGCCCCTTAGAACTAATTCCAGGAAGGCATGATCTGTCTAAATGTTCCCTAGAAAAGTGATTTCCATTGTAAGGAGATGTTTGTGGGAAGGAGGAAGGAAAAGGAAATCCACACTCACCTCATGATGCTAGAAAGTAGATAACTATGAATTCTAGTCTCAGAGTCAACTGTTCAAAGCTCTTATCTGAGTGCTTCTTTGAGAATTTCCTTACTTTAAATCTCAAGGAACAAAATCCAGGGAATAGCGAGGAATCCTTAAGAAAGAATCCTTGGGTGCAGAGACATTTACCACTCTGAAAGCCTCTGAGCCCATGAGGCGTTATCTACAACTCTATGAAACACGAGATAGAACAGTTTGTCATCTACACAATTCATTGTAAAAAACAGAGGCCATAATAGTACCTATTTATGTCAATACAACTGCCATAATTTTAGTGAGCTTAGCAGAGTCTGCCTGACTTGGGATATCAGAGTTTACTTCACTAGATTTATGAAGCTGTTAAAACCAAGTAAATAGCAGCAGTCTCTAACTTTCAAATAGAGCTATGCAATAGTTTAGAAACATATTAGAAAGTGATTTACATTTTTCTTTCCAAAACAGGTTGCATTGACAACAGTCAAGACAAAAAATTTTTCTTGAGATTCCATCCACTCTATGCCCAACACTATGCTAGTCATGTAAGCAATTCGAAGAAGGAAAAGGAACAGTTTCTCAATACAAGTAACCCACAATTTCTGCCTGAGGAGCCTGTCAAGTTTGATAAGAAATGTATTTTCATGGTTCAACACAACAAACCTTTAATAAATACCTACTATGTGCAAAGCACTGTGCTAGCTTCTTGGGGACATAAGGTTATTATTAATGATAGTGATTATGATGGTGACGATGATAACAAAAATAAAAATGGGGTATCTGCCCTCATCTGTCAGTGCCAGTTAAAAGCTGTCAGACTTTTCTGGGAAAAACAAGCTTGAAAAAAAATATGTATCTCAATAATCCAATGCCAAACAAAGCATGTTTTGAAATTGCCACTATTCCACAGATTTGCCTTCAGCTCTAATGTATCTCTGATAAATCTTTGACCTTAATTTGGTACATATCATGTCAGCGTAGCCTCAACTTCTTAGCACATTCTCTCTCCTTCTCTCTCTCTCTCTCCCTCTCTCTCTCTTTCTTTCCCTCTTCATGTATATGTGTATAAGCATACATGTACATGTGTATATATAACATATGCTGCCTTCATACATACACACATACATGCCTATATATGCGTGTATTTATATACATATAAACATATAGGACCACAATTTATATGAATATAAATCTGCAATTGGAAGGGACCTTAGAGACATCCTCCCCCATTTTACAGATGCAGAAACAGAATCCCAAAGAGTTTGTGACTTGTCCAAGATAATGTGGGTAAGAAGCAAAACTGAATCCTACCAAAGACCTAGATTGGACCTACTAATGAACTACAGGGCTTCTTTCCCCCTTTTTATCTTATACTCTTGGTTCCCTTTACCATGCTCTTATAGATGAATCTCAGATGTATATTGTCATTTATTTATATTTATTTATTTGTCACTAAGGACTTGATATTTACATTATGCACTATGAGACTCTAAGGTTATTGAGATAGATATGACCAAGACTTTGCCCTCAAAGAACCTACATTTAATAGAAAGGAGAAGATATAGATAGGTAGACAGATATACACACATACACACACACACACACACATACACACACACATACAGATATACACTCTCTCAACATCATGTAATATATATATATATGTGTATATATATAAGTAAGTGTGTGCATATATGTATACATATATACATACATACACACACACACACACATATATCAGCTCTTTTTGTGGTGACAAAAAAACTGTAAACTAAGGGAATGCCCATCAATTGAGGGATGGCTAAATGAGTTGTGGTATATGAGTATTATGAAATATTGTTGTGCTGAAATGAAAAAAGTAGATAGATTATTTCAAAGAAGCATAGAAAGGCTTTTGTACATAAAAGACCTTTACCTTTTTCTTCAAGTTATTTTGGCTATAAGCCTAGCAGTCGTGTAGTTCTGTTAGAGACCACACATTATTTAGCAACTTTTTTGTGTATGATTTCAAATTCCTTTCCAGAATCATTGTACCCATCATTTCCTGACATTTTCTTCTAGGGTTGTAATATACTTTCCACTTGAATAAGGTGAGTTTGAGGGTATATATTTTCATTAACACAGTCCTAATCCTATTTAAAAAATTACTGGCTCTTAAAATGTCGACGTGATTAAATAATTACATGAGATTTTATGCCTCATCAGGACACCGTATTATATAACTGCTGGGGGACTTCTTCTTACTGCAAGAAGACTCTCTGGGGAGCTCAAAACATCCAGGGATTTGAGGCTTCGGTTATCATTTTGCATTAGAAATAGGCAAGTGGGGGCAATATTCTGCATATAACGTTGAATTGGGATTAGAGAAAGCAGTCTTCTCTGATATGTTCATTCATTCCATTAGCAAAGAGCTCAGCCTCCAATGTCACATAAAGGAGTACTAGACAAGAAGAGAGAAGACATAATTTCCATTCTGAGTTAGCTACATGGACTTGAGCTAATCATTTCATTCTTTAGGGTGGGGTTTACTATTCTTTTTTTGTGTCATGGACCCCTTTATCAGTCTAGTGAAACCTCTGGGCTCCTTCTCAAAATAATATTTTTAAATGCAAAAAATAAAATACATAGGATCACAAACCAATTATATTGAAATACAATTGTTGAAATAAAAAAAATAGCTCACTGGCCCCAAGTTAAGAACATTTGATTATCATATATCAAACTTGAGCTATATCCTACAGGAAGCCCACAAAACTTCCCAGTACAGCAGAACCATATTAAAATGTAATTGGGAAATGTTTAACAAAATAAATTTAAAAAACACAATACAACATGGATAATGTTAATTTGTGGTTTTCTAAGTCAATATTCAGCCAGTAGAGACTCATTTCTATTTGCTTAGACACCACTGGATTAGATAATCTTTAATCCATCTCCTAGTATAGTGGGAAGAAGCAAAGTGCCATGCACTGAAATCTTTCCATGAGTTTATCATTATGTCAGGACTATGGTAAGTGTGCAAAGGAGAACAGTGTATAATAATCATGAAAAGGAAGTCTGGATCCAGTTTACAAAGACTTTAAATGTCAAACTGGAATTGCTGGAACTTTTAAAGTGGAAAAGTGATATGGACAAACCCGTATCTTAGAATTATCACTTTTGCAGGTGTATAAAAAGATGCCCTAGAGAGGGGAGGAAGAGCCTGCAGAGAGGGATATCAAGTCTGATGCCAGTACAATAGTCAAGACAAGAAATGTTGAGAATCTGAACTAGGGTGGTGGCCATGTGAGTAGAGAAAGAAGAGATTTGAGGGATACTGTGAATTTGGAATCAACAAGACTTGGTAAATGATAGACTGCAGTTCATAACGGAGGGTAGTGAGTTGACAGTGAGGTTACAAACCTAGAGGAGTAGGATTGTGCCAGCCTTGGCGGAAATAAAAACTCTGGAATAGAGTTGGGTTTGGGGCAAGAGGGAAAGAAATCATTACAGTTTTGAACATGATGAGTTTGAGATACTTGTAGGGTTTCTCATTGAGTGTGGCCAACAAACAGTTGGCATGTGAGATGATCTCATAAAGAGAATAGGACTCAATATACAGATCTGATAGTGATCTCATGGAGATGATAACCGAATCCATGAAAGTGATATGATCACCAAGAAATGGACAAAATATAGGGACAAGAGAGAAGACGGACCAGGATAGAGCCTTAGAGTATATATACCCACACTAATATGAACATATATAATTTATATCTATTATGTATTATACTATATTCTATGTTTATACATAGTTCATATTATACATTAAAGATATATAATTTATATATTATATATTTATATTTTATTTACATTTTATATGTATGCATACATGTATATGTTATATATATATATATATATATATATATATATATATATTATATATGTATATGCATGTGTGTGTGTATTGCAGCTAGGCAGAAAAGTAAATAGAACTTTGGGCCTAAAGTCAGGAAGACAAATTCAAATTCAGCCACAGATGCTTACTAGCTGTGTGAGTTTAGGGCACTTACTTCTGTCTGCCTCAGTTTTCTGTATATTGTAACCTATTGTAACCTGTAAAATAAGAATAATAATAGTACCTCTCTCCCAGGGCTCTTGTAAGGATAATATGAGATGATATTTGTAAAGTGTTTTGTCAACCTTAAAGATCTATATAATTGTTAGCCATTAGTAGTAATAGTGGTAGCAGTAGTAGTAGTAGTAGTAGTAGCAGCAGCAGCAGCAGCAGCAGAAGAAGAAGAAGAAGAAGAAGAATGTAAGCTTCTCTTTCCTTTTTTAGTCTTTGTTTTGTCTTGCACATAGTAGGTGCTTAACTGTCTTTGGTCAAATTGAATTTGTTTATAAATGATAATTTTAGAATCCTACATCATTGTGTATTTTCTTTCTGATTTTGAACTGAAGCCAAGAAGTCCAGGAAGCAAAGTGTGAAATAAAGGGAGACAGGATATGGGAAGGGAGGGAGGAAAGGAGGGAGAACACTTCCTTTTTTTAAAGGATATTTCAAATTCTCTGACTCAGAGAAAAGATACCTTTTGTTTTTTCAGCATTGCCAGTGTAGGAGATAGTAAGTGAGCTTTTTTTCCCAAGAGACACCCACCCAAACCCAACTAACAGAATTCTATCATGGTCAAACCCTAGCCAAGGAGTTTCCTAGGCTCAAATTTCCAGATTTTCCATCCAAATCAGCCATGCTTTTCCAGCAACAATTTTTTGCCAGTGAAGTCAGTGTGATTTCAAAAAGGAAATCATATCAGCCAATTTTTGAGGGCTTGAGGACCTTAACATTTCCTGTCCCACTTGGAAACTATTTTTTTCATAGCTAACTTTTCTTAAGAACTAAGAACCACATTTGTCAACCCAATAATAGCCATTGTGTACTCCACCCCCCAGTATCATTTGATTTTCAATGCATTTATTTTTCAGGATGAAATCACTAGCCTGAAGGGAGAAAAAAGGCAGGAGTGGAAAAATCAGTAAGATTTTAAAGGATGTCATGTCTTACATTTCTATGGCTCTGGAGAATAGTCCTTTAATGATAAGAAATGAAAGAAAGCAAAACCCCAAAACAGAATCTCTTAGAACAACAACAACAACAACAAAAAGAAAGTATTTTATAAATACCTCTTTGGTCCTAATGGATTCATTTGATTGGTGAAAAGGAGAAAAACTCAAAGTGAAGGCTAGTATTATAATTAACCTAACAATGGTTAGCATTGAATTTATACATATATGAATTGGCATACTGATTTCATATAAACATAACAATATTTATACATGTGGTTTTGTACATTGCACACAAGTTTTTGTCACAGAGATGCAGTACAACTAATTGGATAGAGTTCTGGAATTGGATTCAGGAATACATTGGTCTCAAACCTGGCTACAGTACTTACCAATTATGCCTTCACATGTGAGGCACTTCAGCTGTTTGAGACTCAGTTTTCTCATCTAAAATTTGGGGATAAGTATAACAGTTGTTCCTACTTCACAAAGTTGTGAGGAGGATCAAATGAGGTCATGTATGTACAGCATCAACTCACTGCCGTTTTTCATTGTGTTCATAGAGAT